CACTCTATTGCTGACTGTATTTAGTTCATTAATTTGTGCTGTTCAGGACTATTGGCAATTAGGACTATGTCATCAGCGAATCTTAGATGGTTAAGATATCAGTCCAGTTGACGGAAGATTTCTTCTACGGTTGCGCTGTAAAAAGCTTTGGGGATATCGCGTCTCCCTGCCGTACTTCTTTGCCCGTTGGGTTTGGTTAGTATATATTTTTGTATATTTATACATTTTTACTATTTTATAAAAACACTAAATATAAAAATTGAATTGTTTCCGTTAAGTAAATATTACAACTAACGGTCAGTACATATGACAGAAACATTGTGAAAAATTTTAAAAGTAATGACAATGTCAGTCATAATTCATAATCGAGGTCATAATTCATATATTTAAACAAACTGAACATTGGTGTCTATTAGTGCTTAATCAAGTGATTTTGTACATATTCTGATTTAATTGACTCGGATACAGTACCTACTAACACTACTTAGAATGTTTAAATAGACCACTCAAAAATAACCGTGTCACTCAATTAATTCCAATTAGAAGAGATACGTACCAAAATGATAATCAATCGATTTATCGTTACAAACGATTATTGAAAAATAAAAACAGAGAACCTCCATTAGGTTGTTTGAAATTCAACTGCACGCATTAGTATAATCAAAATTTAAGACATTAAATCTTTATCGGACATAAAAAAATCTTCTTCGGAAAGTAGCGATTCAGAAGTGTCCTGCCTCCTGAATAAAAAGTGCCGATTAAAAAATATCTCATAAAAAGTATTATCACGTATTTTAACCTACACCTGGCGTCCGATGTATAAATAATTGAGATTTTAAGGTTTGACCATAATACCGACCTCCGAAATAAGAAAGACTAAGTAGAAAGATTACAGTGAAAAAAAAAAGAAAAACCTAACGGTACAAAATGTATTCTAAAATAGGCTTAAACTGGGTTATCTCGGCGAGAATATCTTCTTATACGAGGTACGCAGATGGAAATAAGTAACTACAAATAGACACGCAACTATTTGAAGTGTATCCCGTTAAACAATCTCTAGCTGCCGTATTATGGAACTGATTTATAATAATGTTACTTAAAATTCCATGTTAAAAACAGAAATTACCAATGACAAATATCAATATAAAACAAAGATGATAAGCAATATTTTTATTAAAATTTTAAAAATTAATTGTTAAATTTCGTGTTTTGAATACAAGAATAAAAATTTTGACATTCTTAGCAGTAAAAAAAGACCCTAAAATTCTAAGAAGTTGGGTTTTTGTCGAAAATTTTAACAAAATTTTATTAACAAGATGAGATATTTTTCACACAAAATAACCCTTTTCACTATTCGACTTTGACCCTTCCTACCCCCGACCTTCTTTGACCCTACTTTCGAGCCTACCTTCGACCTATGTACTTCAGTCTGTTTCGCGAGTAGTGTAGTGACAGCAATAGTAGAATTTAAACGTGTAGCATCGTTATGATTAAAAAAATATTTCTCAAATTTTATTAATTTAAATTGTCTTTTCTTAACATAGAAAAAGTAGTGTACCAATATAATAGATATAGTATACAGGGTGCTACAAATTCGAGGTACGAGCATTGGTATCTCGGAAACCGTAATAGATACGAAGATGGTTAAATTTGGTTAAATTGGGCCAAAGTTGTGCCTTGAGATGTTCACCTTTTTAGAAAATCAAAAAACTAATTGCACATTCTCATAATCACTTTATTAGGGATGTCTGATAGTACTTTAAGATTTTCAAATTAGCTGATAATTGGTGAGATACAGAGGTCAACTTTTTTTATTTCAGATTTTGAAAGAACTCGGTCTCCTGAGTACAATGGTATGCTACACTTAATACTTTTTTTTTTGTTTTGGGTACCTTAACAACATCAAAACTACTTAATTATTATTTTAAATAATTTCAAGTACGATTCTGGTTTTTTAAATTATTTAATCTAATTATATTCATCGTAACAATATTGATTAGAGCCAATTAACATTGAATAAGGAAAATGGAACCATTTGAAATATTCAAATAAATAATATCCAAGTCAGCAATTTAAAGATATTATTTTTAACTTGTTTTATTGTGAATTTGAAATCTCAGTGTACGATCTAATAATATTCATAATATTAATCGTAGTTATTATAAATAAATCAACTTCTACAAACTAGTTTCTAATGTTCTACATGTTCGAAAGGGTTACCACCCTCCCTAATGCACAAATTTATTTTTTGTTCAATCTTATTTATAGCTCTTTGAACATAACTTCTTGTTATAGTTCCGAATGCATTTGTAGTCTTTATTGTAAATGTTGAAATGTATTGATTTCACTTTTATAAATGACGCCAAGTAATGCCCCTTTAGTTATTGCATTTCATTTTCCGTATTCAATGTTTTACCCTACATCATTGTAAAGTTTGAAAGCTTTTCAATATTGTAACGATAAATAGATTAAATCTTTAAAAAAACAGAGCCGGACTTGAAATTAGCTTAAATAAATTATGTTCAAATGTCCAAAACAAAAAAAAATATTAAGTGTGGCATATCATTGTACTCAGGAGACCGAGTTCTTTCATAATCTGAAATAAAAAATGTAGGTTCGTATTTAAAAAAATTAAGTTGGCCTCTGTATCTCACAAACTATCAGCTAATTTGAAAATTTAAAAATACTATCAGATAGCCCTAATAAAGTGGCAGTGAGAATGTGCAATCAGTTTTTTGATTTCCTAAAAAGTAACGCCAGGAATAAATAAAATTGATTTTCAAAAAAATCCGTTTTTTCCAAAAAAATCAGCAATCCTCGAAATTTTTAAATCTTTTTTGATGGCATCTTGGTGAACATCTGAAGGCGCAACTTTGCCCCAATTTAACCATGTTCGTATCTATTATGGTTACCGAGATACCCATGCTCGTACCTCGAATTTGTAGCACCCTGGATATAATGTTTAAGTGCCAAAATCATTATTTCGAGATAAACATTTTTTGTTTAGCTTAGGACATTTTACAAAAATAAAACAAGACTAACTGATTATTTGGCACTCATTTGTTTATTACACTTTTCAACTAACATTTTACTTATCATTTCTGCAACAAATGGATAAAATGCACTTTAATAGAAACGTATTGAACCATAAGCATAATTATCATGATGACAATGCCATAAAGATATAAATATAGCAACATCAATTTAAGCATATTAAATAACTGTGTAATAAAGTAATGCACAACGAACTAGTGGAGAGAAGGGGCATTCTAGTGAATAACACAACACAAGAATATATTGGGACAACTAATACAGAGCTCGGGATCTCTATTACCAGAAATCAACAGAAGAATTAAGTTAGCATGGAGTACTTCTGGAAGAAACTCAATCATATTCAAATTTAGAATGCCACTCTATCTAAAGAAGAAAACATTCGATCAATGTGTCACCAGTCATGACCTATGCATGCGAAACCTGGACACTTCAAACGAACATCATAAGGAAACTACAGGTCGCACAACACTCAATAGAACGAAGTATGCTGGGAATAACGAAGAAAGACCGCAAAAGAATAGAGTGGATACGACAAAAGAACCAGGTAATAGATGTCATCCACAGAGTCAAATCCCTCAGATGGCAATGGGCAGGATACCTGGCAAGAAGAACAGACAACATATGGACCACAAAAATTACAGCATGGTACCCACAAGGAATCAAGGGACCTACAGGAAGACCGAACCTGAGATGGGACCATGATATAAGGAAATTAGCAGGGATAACTTGGGCCCGCATAGCCAACAATAGACAACAATGGGCCCAACTACAAAGGGAGTATGTGACTACAAATTTAATAAATCATCATCATTACATTTATCAACATCAATCATATACATTACTCAAAAAACTATATGTATAATCAACTGACTAAACTAGAAAATAGAAAAAAAAATCCAAACATCATAACATATTAAATACCTTTAATATAAAGCAATTATTACTTATAGCCCAGGTAGTATTTTTGATATAGGTTATATAGACTAATAAAAACAATAACAAACTGCAAGAAAAATAAAAATCCAAATATAATCCTAGGAACAACAATTCAATTTTAATATTACAAAGAAAAAGAAGAGCGATCTTTAAGAGATTATTAAACATATTAGGCATTCTAAAAACTTTTTTCCAGAAGTGAAAAAAAAAGTTTGAATCGAGATTTATAATGTCAATGTTTATTTATTCACGAGTATATTCATTAAATTATGATGCTAAAGATTTAAGTTCCATTCAAGATAGAAATAGAGTTTATTTGAAAAAATGAAGATGATATAGAAATTATTTTGGAAATAAAACAATTATAAAGAAACGATAAAATAAAATATATATAAAACGAAAGACCGTAGAAAAAGTAATTGGAATCTATATAAAATATTGATTGATTGGCTGATTACCAATAACACTTTAATGATAAGATTCTATAAATCTTGTATGAAAACATTAAAAATACAAAAAATAAACTTCACAAGAATAATATACTTAGATGAACAGATTATTGTATTTATAAAACTTAGAAAACAACTAATTAGTCAAGAAGACAGTAGTAGTTGGTGTAGTTTTTAAAGACTATCTATTTTGATGGAATGAAACAGTATATTCATAAAAATGTAAAAAAGTCGTGTTATGTACTTCTATAATGATTATTAATAAAAAAATTTGATTAATTCCTTTAAAAATAGCAAGAGACTCTGGTGCGAAAACAGTAAAGGTCCAGAAAATAACTCTTGTGAAAAGCCGCGACCAGAAAACAAAAAAGAGAATTCTTCAAAGAGGAAAGCATCAAAATCTAATTAGACGAATGCTGGCAACACATGCCCCCGGGCAGGCATCCCAGCAATGTTGTCCGTTTAAACAGACGGGTGTCAAAACAACACCAGCTTTTTTACGAACTTCGTAGAACTATTTCAAATTATCACTTGTATGACACCGCAGCTTCCTCGTCGTACCTGCGGGGAGAGAGACTGTTGGGCTACCATTCCGTTTCGTGCCCGCTAATATTCCAACACTGGGAGGCAAAAACTTCACTGAAATCCCATCGAGGGCACAAACACAGATTGCTCGGAACAAGGTGGTACCGCGGAACAACACGCGTCGACGAAAAACCAAACGAAATATGTTCGAACGGTGGTTTAGGGGTTAGGAAGAGCACCAACACCACAAGAAGTAAACTAAAGTGACCGAGCGGCGCGGCGAGTATCTGTTCCTCGAGTTCTTAAGATGGACTAAACGAGATGGAGCCGCGAGAGTGCTGCCCCCTCCCGCATTCCTTTGCGCCCCTCTGCCCCCACCTGTCTCGCTCTTGTGAACCGGCGGCGGCGGCCGCGTTCAGCACACAGGTATACGGCGGTCGGCCGGCCGCGGCCGGTCGAACTGCTAGCCAGCGCGGCAAGTTTGAAAAGACGGCCGCTCATTGTTTGGCCTACAGAAACAGACCATTGTCTTGTCTATTCGCGGGCTATTTCGCTGATGAGTGCCCACTGAAATACGCGCGCGAATATTCATAAGCATTTAAGGGTTTCATGCGGTCGCATTGTCCCAAAATAAATTGTCGGGCCAAAGACAACTGGAGACATTAACAGAGCGTTAGACAAGAAACCCCGCCTACTGTAATTAAACTCTCAATTATAAAGTTCGTCTACTGGATCTGTCTCCATGAAAGGAATTTCAATTAATTACACTAAAAACAGTATACAGGGTGGTGACAATTTCGATGCTCAACATTGGTATCTCAAAAACTACGAGAGATACGAATTCGATTAAATGGGAAAAAAGTTGCGTAATTAGAAGTTTGATAAACACCTATGAAGAAAACCCCGGTATCTTTATCCGGATTAATTTCGGATTTATGTCAAAAAAATGAAAATAAGACGTTTATTGAATTGTGAATTTGAACAACATTGAATGACAATACCTTCAGAACTATTCTATCTATTGGAACGTAAGTTGGTAGTTTTATATTTTTGACATCGGCCAATTAGATACCGTTTTCAGAAAATTTTTAAGCCTTCTAGATTTCGCACAACAACAGTCAAGTTTTTGTTTTCTTATGGCCGCTATTTTGAATTTTTATACTGTTAGACAAAGCAAAAAAAATGTGTATACCGTGGTATCTAATTTTTATTCATTATTATGTAAATTCACTAAAAAATAGATTTTTTCAAAATTCGCCGAAAATCAAGTCTGCCTTGGAAATCCAATTGACACTTTATATGTCAGCAAGTTATTTTTTATTTGTTCTATGATAATGTCAAATCTGGATACACAAAAATGGTATGTAGAGTGTAGAGTTCAATACAGATCAATACAGAACCTAAAATTTTATCAAGAATGCCAGCCCAGACGTTCAAAGAATATATTACTGTGGTCTGGTTTCTCTAATTAAATGAGGATTTTCTTTTGCAAAATACTTTTTTATATATATAGCATAATATTTTTTTTCTGTTAAATGATAGATAGATAGATAGATAATGCTTTATTTATTTCCTTATTGTATAATACAAAAAGAAACCCAAAAAAGGGCATGGAAACAATGTCAGTAAAAAATTTTAATAGAAAATAACAGCATATTTCAACAAAAATTGAACTATATGAACAAAAATAAATAGTAATATTAAAATTAAATATTTTATGAAAATAATACTAATAATAATAAATTAAATCTATGTATGTATAGACAGATAACAACACAAAATTATACTTACAATAAATAACAAATTTAGATCAAATGATACAAAACAAAAGTAAGAACATACCGGTGTGGTTGTTTTTACAACAATATACAATCGATGTTAAATATGACACAGGGCGCTCTTATCACTGTTTAGAAATTCCGCGAGGGAATAAAAAGCTCCTCTGCATAAAAAGATGTTTAAGCATTTTTTAACTTTGTTTTTAGGCATAGACAAGGTAAAATTTTCCGGAAGGAAATTGGATATTTTTATTAGAGGGTAATATATATTTTTTTGAAGATAGCTGAAATTATATTTATCCGAAACCAGCTGTAATCTGTGTCTAGTATCATATTCATGTTCGAGCCTACGGTGTCCAAATAAATTCCAGTTTTCCAGGACAAACACCACAGCCTCCAAAATATACATTGAAACAACTATAATAACGTTATGTTCAACAAAAATCTCCCTGCAGCTTTCTTGCTGACTCAATCGGAAGATACTACGTAAGCATTTTTTCTGTATTCGTAATATCCCTTCCAGCCCAGTGGAGTTGCCCCAAAAAATAATACCATACTTAAATCTGGAATAGATAAAAGCATAGTAAACTGACATAGCAGCATCGATCCCCACGGACCCCGATATTACTCTCAGCGCATAACAGAACTGAGAAGTTTTAGATGCCAGTACTTCAATATGGTGAAGCCAATCCAAACGTCTATCGATCGTTAAACCAAGAAATGGAACGCTATTTACTGAACATATTTCCTGTTGCTCGTGCTGGAGGATAAAGGGAATTGAGTATCGATTGCTAAATAACATACACTGTGTCTTGGATATATTGAGAGATAGTCCAATAGAGTGAACATACTTCAACAAATCCGACACAGCCAATGGGACTCTGGTTCAGAGTGAAAGACATCACTTGCACTGAAAAGCACAGTCGTATCATCAGCATATAATACTGTTTGTTCCTGAATAATGTGGGGCACCTCATTTGTATACGGTATATAAAGAAGCGGACCCAATATTGAACCTTCCGGTACCCCCTTTTCAATGATTACCTTGTTAGAAACTATTTTTCTGCCATTCAAATCAAAGTCAATAACCTGCTGTGTTCGCCCACACAAGTATGACTTCATCAGTTCTAAAGCCCATCCTCGAATACCATACCCATCCAACCTATTCAGCAAAATATTGTGATCTACACTGTCGAAAGCTCTGGAAAGGTCCAGGCACATTACAAGTGTCTGATTCTTATTGTTAAGCGAGTCAATGGCAAAAGAGAGCGCTTAATACAAGCCCTGAATTGTCGACATTCCCTTCCTGATACCATACTGCTGATCAGATAATACTGCATTCCTCTCTAAGAAATTTGTTAGCCTAATATATATAACATATTCAAAAACTTTACTAATACCAGTTAACAGAGATATGGGTCTATAGTTTTTCTTCACCTTTTTTAAAAATAGGTCTAATATAAGCGTTTTTCAATTTAGTCGGAAAACCCCCTAAACAAAACATGCATTAATAAAGTGCGCCAAAGGTTCTGATATAATATCTGCCACTTTTTTTAAAACCGATATGGGGATTTCGTCATCACCAACAGATTTTTTATTTTTTAAATTTTGAATAGTGTTAAAGACTTCCTGTTTGTCGGTAGGTATTAAGAAAAATGATTGTGATAGTTTATTGTTACGTGACAGATTTTCAACGTTATGAGCATCAATATCGGGACACAAATTGACAAAATATTTGTTAAACGAACTTACAGTTGCATAAGGGCTGTCATATTTGCCCGAAAACTGTCAAATAAGCTACTACTCACATTATTATTAATAATATTATTAACTATTTACCAAGTTGCTCTGGTTTTATTTTCAGCATTGTAAATATAATTTCGATTAGACATTATTTTTGCTTCTTTAATAACGTTTTTTAATATATAACAATACTTGTTGTAATATTGAATGCTGACTTGTCCTGTAAGTTTTTTAAAGTATAAGATGCGCTTGTGTCGACATGAGATCTTTATTCCTCTTGTAATCCAACATCTTGATTTAGGAGTTGTATTATATTTTTTTGTTACAAATATTCTGTCAGAGAGAGTTGTGAAAATGTTCAAAAAACAATTGTAGGCGTCGTCAGGCAAAATTGAAGTGTAAACGGGCGACCAATCTGTTCTGGTCAATTCGTCTCTAAAACTTTCAACACGATTTTTTGTTAAGACATTGAGCAAAATGATCAGACAAAGATGTATCTACAACTTTAGAATTGAAATCTACAAAATTTACAAATATATTATCAATAAGCGAACATGAATCTCTTACTTCTCTAGTTTTTTCAAAAATTGTTTGATGAAGATTATTTGCCAGTAACAGGTTAAGGAAAATCTTGTTTTTTAAATTCGCTTGCAAGAGATTCAAATTGAAATCGCCAGCAACAACTATTTTAAAAGTTACATACTTTAAAGTTATATATGACAAAATGTCTTCTAGTTTATCTATAAATTCGTCGAAAGATCCAAGTCCTCTTCTATATATACACAAAACAATTAGTCTCATTTGCGAGGATTATACACATGCACATTCAATAACGCCTTCAACAATTTTTTCCACCACCCGACTTTCTTCCTGTAGAGAAAGATCAGTCAGTCCAAAAATACAAGTACCTCCATAGTCCATAGTTGTTCTCGTATATATAGATTTTAGATGATAACTCTCCAGGCGAATAAACTGAGCCTGTTGTGATTTAAGCCAGTGCTCGGAAAAACAAATAATGTCCGGCTTTATGCTATGTGCCAGAATTTGTAAAAAAAGATTCATCCGTCCATAATATTTCTCTAGAAAATGTAATCTTCTCTCGTGATCACCAGCATGTAAAAAAATATAAATTTGGTATACATTTAAATTTAAAGTTGTTATATTTATGTTTTTTGATAATTTCCCTATATAAGAATCACTTATACAAAACTCGCAAGCTATTTTACTTTACTACTAGAAGTTTCCGGATTTATTTCAATCTGAGCTGGCACATTAAAATCATTAAGCCTTTTAAAATATTGCCCTCTTGTTTCTTAAAGCTACCAGCAACTGCTAAATTTCTTGAAATCCTTGTGAAAATAGTACGATTAGGCTGATGCGTCCTTTCAGGATACAATATTCTATAACTTGCACATGCTATATCGGAATTTCTATTATTTTTAAGTAAACATTATACATATCTCGTGTTTCCCCACTTGTGAACATATTGTTGACTGTTAATACATTTTATACTATTTACTATAAATTTTTGTGTCCAGATTTGACACTTGATCCGTCAATCCGTCACAAATGTCAATTGGATTTCCAAGGCAGACTTGATCTTTTGAGCGAATTTTTAAAAAATCTATTTTTTTAGTAAATTTACATAATAATAAATAAAAATTAGATACCACCGTATAGATTATTTTTAGTATAAAAATTCAAAATGGCGGCCATAAGAAAACTTTAAAACTTGAATGCTGTTGTGCGAAATCTAAAAGGCTTAGA